TGTCCATGCTCTCTGAGTAAGAGAATCAGAATTAAAAGCAAATTATAACAAGAAATTTACATGCCACTTTTATTGAATCTGAAAATACTACAAGTTCAGCATAATAAAAGTACATTAATGATTCAATCAGACCGATATACTTCATTTCCCCTTTCCACAATATAGTCTGAAACATCTAGATGAGTTGTGTTCAACTGCCCTGATAAGTCGAACACTGGATCAGGTATATCCATTGGTCTAGCCTGGTCGAGAAAGTTGGTCTCGACACCCTTCTCCTTGAGGGAGGCTTGATACAGATCCACTAGATGTTTTGGGGTACGACAAGTACGCGCCCAATGCCCATTGCCACCACACCTATGGCAGGCTCCTTCAGAGTTTCTAGGAGCATGGTTCATATGAGCTTTGCCTTTGTGGCGATTCACATTTTTGAAGCTCGGGCCTGAATTATGCCTCGGAACCTGGTTGTGAAACTGAACTCCATGGTTCTTGCCTTTCCTATTCCATCGACCTCGCTTGTGGCCACGTCCTCGTTTATGATTATCACCACCAGAGGATGTGGCGTTCACTTCGAGGGAAGCAGCATTCACTTCTGGGAATGGTGCAGATCCAGTAGGTCGGGAATGATGGTTTTTCATCAGGAGCTCATCATTCTGTTCAGCTACTAAGAGCACAGATATCAGCTGGTTGTACTCAGTGTAGCCTCGCGCTCTATACTGCTGCTGCAGGAGCACGTTGGAGGCATGAAATGTGCTGAGAGTCTTTTCCAGCATATGATCTTCAGTAATAATATCCCCACAGAGCTTCATCTGAGAGGTAATTCTGAACAATGCAGAATTGTATTCTGCCACTGACTTGAAGTCTTGAATCCTCAGATGAGTCCACTCATAGCGGGCCCTTGGAAGAATCACCGTTGTCTGGTGATTGTATCTGTTTCTCAAGGCATTCCAGAGAGCTAACGGATCTTCAACCGTTAAGTACTCGCTCTTTAGCGCCTCATCAAGATGGCGGCGAATGAAAATCATGGTCTTTGCCCGATCTTGAGAGGATGAGTTGCTCTCTTCCCTGATGGTATCACCAAGATTCCCTGCTTCCAAATGGATCTTGGTATCCAATACCCAGGTCAGATAATTCTTCCCGGTAATATCCAGGGCAGCAAATTCAAGCTTCGCCAAGTTCGCCATTTTCTTTTCTGAAAGAAAATGAGATGTGTAAGAACTTGCAATAATATGTATTCCTGAAGGAATATGATGTTAGAACTTCTGGTTCTTACAAATTTTTCATTTTGATCTTCAGGCCAAAATGATAAGCACTCGAAACTTCTGGCTCGAGATTTTCAGGATGAATGAGAAGGGCGATCGTACCGCACCATTCTCATTGAAATAATGTAATATAGAATGGGCGATTATTCCGCACCACTCAAGTAACAGAAAAATTAAATATGCAGAGCAGCGTGGGCGATTATACCGCACCACATAAAATTGCAATGAAATTAAACAGCAGGTAAATTCAAATATGCAGGGTAGGGTGTGCGATTATATCGCTCCACCTAAAAAATTGCAGTAAAATTAAATCTGCAGTCCAAGATAGGCGATGATACCGCACCGTCTTGGATCGCAGTAAGAATAAATTTGCAGTTCAAGATGGGCGATTGTACCGCACCATCTTGGATTGCAGTAGAATTAACATAAATAAATACTGGGTTAGTAATCAATCTCTACACCAAACAAGTAATCAAAGATGTATGTAACCGTTAGTTGGAGAACTAAGAGCAGGCATGGAGCAAACAACTCGTCGCGAGGGTACACGGCGTAGTTGAGGCAGAGGAAGAAGATGAACAGTAAAAACCTTAAAGGAAACATTTTTTTTTTTTTTCTTTCTTTCGTTCGTTCGGCGAAGAGAGATGAGAGAATAATTATATATAGAGACTCGTGCTGATAACGTGTTATAAAAGGGTTAAAGTTTGAGAGAATAACCTTTTAATGGTAGGTGCAAGGTAGATGTAAAATGCCACACTAAAACTATAGCACAGACAGATAACAAATAAAAGGCAGATGAATAGATGATGTTACTGATATTTTTCTCTAGTTTTCTTTCGTCTTATTTTTTCTGTTCCATGAAAGCATATGAAGTGCTCTATTTATAGAGCAACTTCATACAGATGCATTAACTGCATTTTGAAACTTGTAACCCGTCTTCTGACAACACAATGCAATTTCCGCTTTCGTTTTCTACAAATGGAACTGTGGGCATTCAATGCCCATGAGACTTTTCAACAAAATATGATTTTTTTTTTTTTCTTTCTAAAAAATAGTGGGCCCCACCCTATAAATCTTCAACCCCTTCTTCCTTCTCCCTCACCTTGCCCAACACACTGCAAATCCCTGCGATTAATAAAACCCAGCAAATCCAAATCTAAATCCATCACTGCAACATCTCCCCAAACCAACTCACAACCCATCACTCTCTACCCCACCCTATAAATTTCATTTTTCGGATTCTAGGATAGAGATCAACGAATCTGGAGTGGGATGTCACCATGGTAGAGCTACCGCTACCTTCTCCGTCGATTCGCAACCAGACCTACTAGATTTCAACAACGGAGGCTTTTGATTTTGACGGATTCGAGAAATTCCCAATTTCAAACCATGCCAGATTTGAATTGCTAGGTATAAACTACTGCAATTTAGTCGTGGGTGAGGGTGTGGTGTCAAGGGTTAATGGTGATGGAGAGACATGTTGTTGGTGGTTATGGAAGATGGGGTTGATCAGAGAGAGAAGATGTGTAGGGATGCTGGAGGAGGGATCGGATAGGGAAGAGGGGTCGGGTAGGGGTGCATGTGTAGTGGGGTGGGGGTGATTAATAATTTTTTGGATATTGTAATTATTTATTAAATATTTTAAATAATAAATATTTTTATTTTTTATATTTTATATTTTTAAAATTTTTAAAATTTTTTTATCCACATGGCGCCAAATAGACATCCACCTCATTAAAAAATGGGTCAAATATCTGTCATATCATCACTTAACAGCCAATCTAACCAATTATGTAACAGATTGTATGAAATTGCAACTAAATCATATTTGGTGTATCAAATTGTAATGTTTTAAAGATGATGTATGAGCTTATAATTACACCCACACTTGAGGGTGCAAAATGTAATTTACGCTAAATTTTATTATTTTGATAATTCATCTACAGTACTTTATTAAAAAAAAGAAAAAAAGGATTTGTACCATTTAATTTGAACGTTAATATTGTAATACCATAAAGTTCAACTTTAATATACTGATTTAAGAGTGTAATCTAAAGTCCAAACCGTAGATAACAACGATTACAATTATATGTAACTTTCGAGTATAATTTTAAACTAAGGTCATTTTGGTTCCGGTCCTTAGTCAACCTAATTGTTAGAATGAAACCTTATTTGTTTGAATAGTTTTATCAAGGTCCCTGACATTATTCAAAGAATTTAACTCATACATTTATGCATTCAATACCCACAAATTATGAAATTTAAGCAAATTCAAATAATATTTTAACAATATAACAATAACTTTAAAAATAAATAATAGAGTAATATTGTTCTTCACATAATTCTAGCAAAAACTTATTGTGCCCATGTAATTATTAATATAGTTTAAGAAATAACTATTGCTATATTTTAAACATAAAACAAATACATATAATCAGCATGGGTACATTCATAAAAAAAATATGGGTACACATTAAAATTAAAAAATTATGGGTACATATTAAAATTCAAAATTATGTGTACAAACCAAACTAAAAAGAATATTGGTATAAATTAAAAAAATTTAATATTTATAAATAAATACATATTTTTTAAATTTTATAAATGGAAAAAATACTAAAAAGATATATTTGAAAATGATTAATAAGTTTTTTATTTTTAAAATTGACAATATAATGATTTGTAAATAATTTAATATCTAAATAGTGTTATGGAGAAAAGTCAAGGGACCATGATAAAAAATGCAAAAGGAATAAGGTTTCAATTAATGAGAAAGAAAAAAATGAGAGATGAGAACCTAATTTATCCTTCAAACTAAGGATGGTCGCGGGTTGGGCTGGGTTAATTTTGGGCCAAAATCGAAACCAAACCGACCTAGTCGATTAAGCCAAAATTGCAAATCGAAACCGATCAAGCCAGGTCTAAAATCGATCATGTCAATTAACCGATAAAGGCAAGTTGGTTTGGGTCTGTTTTCGGTTTGTGTGAACACTAGTTAAATTCAAAGTTTAACATTCAAACATTCTTAAAGTTACAAAAAAGAAATTCATCAAAGCTCCAATTTTTCAAAATATTACAATCCAAAAGTTCCAAAGTCCAAAAGATCTATTGGAGAAGGCATTACATATAGATACTTAAATATGACATTCAGGCATTCTTAAAGTTCAAAAGTTCTACTGGAGAAACCATTACATATAGATAATTAAGAATTGAAGTCCCAAAACTTCCAAAAGATCAAAAAGTTCCATGCTTCCAAGCCTCCAGTAACTTTCCCTGCACTTCCTACACTCCAACAATCTACCCATGTAATAATCTACCCATGTAATAATTAATTATGTAAACACAGAAGCATCAACTTTTCACAGGAGTTTGCAAAACTACCACGTTTTGTTTTGTTGTGGTGGGTACATGGTATATCTATTATGATTAAAACAAATAAAAGCAAACACGCGGGTCAGTTCGGTTAACCGATGTCCAAGAATATAGGAACCACTCGTCAAACCGACCTTAGTTGGTGCGGTTCAGGTTTACTCACCGGAAAAAGAAAAGAAAAAAAAAACGTCGGTGTGGTTTGGTAGGTTTAGTCAGGTTTTTTTTTTTTCCTTAATTGCCCAACCCTACTTTAAACTATACAATGTAATCTTACTTTGGCCTTTATCAGTGGCGGAGTTAGAATTTTACATGAGGAGAGGCCTCACATAAATGTTAAAAAAAAAAAACAATATTTATAAGAGAGTAGAATATATGCTTGGAATTGTGAGCAAATTAGATTTTTTGAGGTGCTAAATGTTTTTTTTTTTCATGTTTAAATTAGCATTCCAATATCAATTCAATATAGAGAGTAATTAATACAAAAATTAAAGATAGGCTGAAAGCTCCGAGGAAAGCAACCACGGTGGCGGTGCTGCTGGTGGTGATAATGAGAAAGAGACGGTTAAAGTTGAAGTTGTTCAAGTTCAGGACTCTGCTAAGAAGAACAATAACGAAGGTGGTAGCACTAGTAAGAAGGTGGACGGTGGTAATATGGTCAAACCCAATGAAGGTGGCGGTGCACCGGCTAAAGCTGGCGGTGGTGGTGGCAACGGGGGTAATAAGAAGAAAAACAAGGGGAAAAAAGTGAATGCCAATGCTGATGAGGATGAAGGTGAACAATGTGATGATGCTCCTCCACCAAGCAGTGAGTCACCAATTCAGGGTAATGTGCTTCATGGGGCACAGAGGCCTCATAACCAACATGTTCAGCTGCATGTGCCTAATGTGCCTTATGGGCCTCATGCTCCTCGTGGCCCACAGGGTTTTCTTGGCCCACGCCCTCCATATGGTCCTCATGGCCCAAGCTCTGTTCAAGTTCCAGCCAATCACAACCCCCCACCGCGGTCGAAAGGGAGATGCCACTTCCATCCAATCCCTAAATACGGATTGCCGGGCAGTTACTGAGAAAGCTATGCATCGTTTACTTGAGTTTTAAGAGAAATAAATTTTCCAATATCAAGGTAATGAAAAAAAAAATTAACGAAAAGTTAAAAAAAAACTTTAGTTTTGATGAAAAATGACAAATATAGGTGTAGTGAATAGTACCAGGGAAAGGTAAAAATGTGATTTTTCATTAAAAGTGAACAGCATCGGAAATGTTTCGTGAAAACTCCCATGAAAAAAAGAATGGATTGAAAATTTTCAAAACGAAAAATGAAAAAAATGGATTGCAAATTTAGTGAACAAAATATATGAAATTTTATAACTTTAGTAAAAAGTTAGAGAGAATTTCTAAACCTTAATATTGTTGTAGGTTGAAAATTGGAGGACAAAATATATGAAATTTCAAGAAGGAGAGGAGAAGCCACTTAGTACTATGGTCTAGTGGTAATCTTTTCACTTGTAAATGATAGGTCTTAGGGTCGATTCTCGCCAAAGACGAATTTGAACAATATTCTTCATTGTGAAGTTTAGCCCACTCCCCAACCCCTTAGTATAGATAATATATCATATTTGTTCAAAGAAAAAAAAAAGGAGAGGAGGAGAAACTCAAAGTTTATTATTCTTTGCTTGGACAAGATGAGAGAATATTTTTTGATAAAATTAAATCAAACTTTATATTTTAATTTTAAGAGGTATTGATTTTTTTTATAAAATAAGATGTTAAACTTAGTTTAAGATGAGTGATTGGAATTGGGCCTATGCCTATACTAGGCTTATTGTATCTGACTGAGGACCATGTATGTTTACGATGTTATGTAAGTTCATAAAGTTCGTCTCTATTTTAACAATACGCTCATTGGGGTAATAGTAAACATAGATAATTTAACACCTACCTTGATAATATAACAAAACGTCCACAATGTGGCTATTAACCTTGCTATTGAAATAATCACGTCACTCTTATTATTAACTCGAACCTCATCATAATTATGTGACTTTAAAATGTAATTTTTATTAAATTAAATACCACCGATACCTTATTTTTTTTTAATAAAGTACCGTAAAATCTTCCCTATTTATATTTTTGGGTGTGGGGAGACTGTTAATTATACAGCGGAGGTGAATTTCACATATTTATTATTCTCAAAGAGCAATGTTTATGCCTCTGGAAACTGCAAATATTTTAACTTTATGTTTTTATCGTGGAACAAGCTCCACTAAATAATTTCTGCTTTTATTTTTCTATTCTTTTTTAGGACAACCAAAATAACTTAATAAATCAAAGAAAAAAGTAGCAAAGAAAAGAAAACATAACCCTTTACAAAAAAAACTAGTTAATATATGCAGCCCAAACAAAAGTTGAATTGTGTATAGTCACAAAATGATGTCAATAAGCGTCAAATTCTTGTCGTGAATATACTTTCTGGTAAGAGCTCTATAAGGCTCAACAAAGCACCAGTTCAGCCAAGGTAGATGAAAAATCATATAAAGTCATGTTGGAGTGAAATTTTGAAAGTAGAAAGGCAAATTAAGTTTGGAGTCATTTTTGGGTTAAATTTTGAGTAGCATTCTAGGAGGAGATGATCTAATTTGTTTTGGGAATGTAATTGAAACAGGCCAAAGAAAAGGAAAGTTTGTATAGATATGCTAATGTTCAGAAAAGCCTTGCTCATTAGGTGAAATGGGTTACCTAGAATTCTCAATTGGGTTAGCTTTCTTAATGTGAAAAAAAAGGACCAAACTAGTTGGTCAAGGCAATATTCACACCGCACCTTCTTATATTCAACTTTTAATACCCTCCCGTGAATTAGAATAATTTAAAATATCATATTACAAAAACTTAAGAAGCATATTATGCTTTTGCAAACTTTAATGCAACTCTTATGTGAAGCTAACAAAGTTAGGAAGGGTGCAACTTACATTCTGGGGCTTTATCGTACACTGCTAGAGTCAAATATCATTGGATAAAAAGTACAACTAGCGGGATGGTGAACAGTGTATACAAAAGTGTAGCTTATAAACCGATATTAACATCATTAATCTTCGGAAAGTGATTTTCACGTCTCTTTTTTCTCCCTGCACATCTTTTTATAAAGTTTTTTTCCTTGAATAAATCACCAAAGAACATAAATAAACAAAAGTGTAGGACGAGAAAAACAGTGTGAGAAAATCATTATGTGAAAAGCTAAAATAAATTACGGAAGAAAAAAAATAAACCATTTGTGCGTGATCCAATATCTTGATAGATAAGACGTTGACTTTTTACCCGTGAGTCCCAGATTCAAAAATCCCTACTGCTCTATATATATATATATATATATATATATATAAAGGGGACCAATCTCAATGAATAACAGAAATTGAATCTCACCCTCCACAAAAGGTGAATTTCACAGAAGGCAACATGTGCATCAATCGTATAAATGATCTCTTTGAGTTCTTCCTACCCTGTGTGTTATGATATACAACTATATCCACAAAAAGCACAATGTCAAGAACAAAAGGTCTGATCTGAATACAAAACTAATGTACATACGAGTTAAATGCTATTTACGGGTATACTGGGCGGGCACGGCAAAACTGCGGATGCTCTCTCAACGTGACATGAGCGTTCATCTTCAGAGAGAGAGGACTCTGTTGTGCTGTTTTCAACATATAACTTCCTAGTCACACCCTCGGGCCTGAAGGAAGAGGTTTCAATTATAGTGAATGACGAGGATGAGATTCCCTCTTTCAGGCCATGTATGAGACTGCAAAGTCCTTAATCCTTTGCTTAAGTTGCTGCAGAAAGACGCAAAAATATTCACAACACTCGGTACAAAAAATTTAAAGGGAAGTGTTATTGGCACTCCAAAAATCTCATTCTACACTCCTCACAAGTGTATTTTTCTTTCCAAATATAGTAAGTTTGGAGTGTAAAATGAGATTTTTGAAGTGCCAATAACAATTCCCAATTTAAAACTCAAATGGTAATTGCAAAGTAGATAATTCCTATGACTAACTCCAACACATAACGGCATTAATTCAAAGATGGTGGTCGACGAGGATAGAATGAATCACCTTCAATTCTTCATGAAGTACCACAAATATTCCTTTCAGCCTCTTATGTCTCTGCAAGCGTCAATATTACTTGAGTCAAACCAAAAAGCTCAACATAATATTAGTTATTTGACAAATAAAAATTAAACCGTAAGAGTTAAGTTTAAAGTTATCGGTAACAAAATCAAGAATGATTCTGAAGCACTTTACACTTTATGTATTGTAAATACTCCAGAAAAACAAAACAGAAATAAAGATAATTTAAGCACCTAAATTTTCTGTTTAAAATAATAGTTACCAACACCACATCACTAGCAACACGATGTTAGCTATTCATATATGATCATAGTATTTGTCTCAAAATTTTCCTTATTCATCAAATACAGGATTAATCGAAACACATGCACTACTGAGCTTATCTGGTGAGCTGGGTACCCGAACTTCAAAACGTCTACAAATTCAAGAATGAATTTAAAGTTTCTACATGTTAGCAAGCACGTGTAATAATTGGACTCCACCAAGACATATGCAAGTGTATATTTATAATATGATAGACTTATTGGCTCAGCCTCATTAAGCATCTTCAACATAAGCAAACCCCTGGAATTCACATATGCCATGCGGATGAAGTTAAAAGGTGTTACATCTATTAAATTTTCACAGTTATATCTATCAAGCCAAATTGGAAGCCAATAAGTCTATCATACTAAGCAGTGCATTAAAGTGATTCATTGTGGAGGGTGGCTGACTTTGGCCCTAAGCCCACAGGGCAAACCCTATCCACCATGGCTAGGTAACAAACAACAACTGATTTGTTAAGTTATAAGGGAATCATGAAAACAGAAGTGCGTACAACTGATACATAATCAAAATGCATCTGACCAAGAAAACAGTGAGAATGTCTAGCTGAATTACTTCACATACAATGTCTTACTGAATTACTTCACAGTTCAATCATCTACGCACTTCATAGAAAATCAAACACAGAGCATACCGTTCCACATTGACGATATGAATCCTTCAGCTGCTCCACAATGCTATAATATTTCTCTGTGTCTCTAGTAGCATAATCAAGGTCCGTTCCTAGCTTTTCAAACTCATTCCTACATTAAGCACAAATAAATTGTTTTGACACAATTTTGGATAAAAAAAAAAAAAAATAGAAAACAATTAATCAAACATGTATTAAAAAAAAAAGAACAATATTGCCTTAAAAGAAGTGAAAGGAATCTTCAAATGACCTGTAACTCTCTAGGGTCTTGTTCAACGAGCAATAGCTATCATACTTATCACGATATTCTTGCACATACTCTTTGTACCTAAGATAAGAAAAGGAAAAATGTATAAAGTAATTTGGATGTCAAAAACCAGGATTAAATACAACACAGCCAAAACCTGGTTTGATGGTTTTCACTATTGTAAAAGCTTTAATATGTTCACTTACTGAGAGAAATCTTTTATTGGTCCCTTGAACTCGGGCTCATTTTTCTCATACTTAGAATAAGAACAACTATTCTCATCTGAAGAAGAATCCCTCTTTTTTCTATCACTGTCAATGCCCTCTGCCACCATTGATTTCTTTGGTACATCAGTTGAATCCACCATTATATTGGATGCATGTCTTTTACTTTCTTGTATGGGTTGGGAAACTAGCCTTCGCTTTGAGTCAAGCTGCTGAGGAGCACTTGAGGTTGCTTTCTTATTGCTTTCTCCATGTCCAGCCACACCAATTGCTTGTCTGCCTCCAGCTTCATTCTGTCGAGATTTACTAGTAAGATCCACTGTTTTGCTAAACGAACGCCCCACATCAGGATGATCTACTAGTGATGGGTGCTGTGACTGAGACTGCACAGCTCTCTGTTGCGACCTTGTTAAATCCTCAATGCGATCTTCATAGTTCCTCTTTTTATTCAAGCCTTCCTGATTACATGGAAGCTTAGAGTTTAAATCTGGAGGGGATGGCCTTCGCAAATCAAAATTTGCCTTTCCTGCAGGTTTCACTTTACCGAATTCAGAAACCCTGTTCTCTGAAGTGCTCGTTTTGTTATCTGACTGCTTAAAAGAACTTTTCCTCTCAAATTGCTTCTTAACTGTCGTTTCCTCAAGCAAGGGCTCACGAAGTTCGCCCAACTCCAAGTCTGAAAACTCTCTTTGGAGTTTACTGCCTCTGCCATGAACAACAGGGGATGTGTCTGCACCATTTGTGCTGTTATCCTTTGGTGAACTCCCCAGTAACAGGCTGGAAATTTGTGCATTCCCCTTGATCTTTCCAGCCACATCACCGTCTTTCTGGTAATGAGGATCCAAGGGCACTGACTGTTTGCCTCGGGTACCACCTTCCTTAGAATTTCTTGGAACCTTTCTCTCATTAGCATAACCATCCTCATTTTGAGTATCTCTATAAAGTTTATCTTTTTGAGGGAGGAAACCTTCGTGCATTTGAGAGCTCTTTTCAGAGTACTTCCCGCCATGCCCTAAGTTTTCAGCATATCTATCTGGTTTTTCTGCTGAATCAGGAACTTTTGTCTGTAAATTATGATCAAAAGACTTCCGACTTGATTGTTTAAACTCTGAAGTATATCTGCCAGAAAATGCTTGGTTGCAAGCCTTTAGGGATCCAGATTCAATATTCCCATCCCTATCATCTCTACTAATCGTTTGAGAGACAGGGGTCCTTATGAGAGCCTTCAACAAGTCTATCAGGAGACAAACTGTGACAAGGTTGCTGTGATATTTCTGTTTTTAATCTATTTTTGCGTTCAGATTTCTCATCAGAGTGCTTTATCCCAGATACCATTTTGGATGTACCTTTAGATATCCTCTCAGAGCTGTCAGACTGCTCATACCTAAAGTCATCCTTGGCTGTACTCCCCCCTCCATACAAAGGATCTACCAAACTTTGGTGGTCTTGCAGCTTACCATGCTCAGGTGAAAAGGGTTTTGTTTCTTCTCGAGGTTCACTTTTATTATGATTAGAGTTACTAACTGGAGCCAATTCAGCAACCTGATCGGCATCAAGCAACTGTTTTTCAATCTCAACTGCGTCAACTTCATGATCATCTTGCTTCTCATCATTCCCACTCTGCAAAGGGTTGCCATCAGGAGTTCTCCATAGGACGGGCAAAGTAGAAAACCCTGGTTCAGAGTCTTGCAATTGATGCTTCAGTTCTTTGTCATCGTCACTTGCCATAATATCCACATCCTCATCAAAACCTTCCTTGCTATTAGAAGATGCATCACTGTCACTATCACTACTACTCCCACTCCCATTTCGTGCTGGACTTTTACTTCTGCTTCTGCTATGACTGCCACTGTCACTTCCGGTATCGCTACTGTCACTATCACTGTCACTGTCACTCCCAGTATCGCTAGAGCTTCCTACTAGCGCTACATTATCGTCGGAGCCCCTTTTTTCACCAAACAAATCAAGGGATTGCTGTTGGTTATCAATTTTAATCAATGCACTTGAATCCTGACCCACTGTAGCATTCAATTGTTCGTGAACCTGCTCCTCCAACCCATTAGGAGAAACTTTCTCCTCAAAGTGTGGTGCTTGAACAGGCATTTGATCACGATTACCATCAGGAGCAGGTTCCTGGTGAAGTTTCTCCTCGGGAGAACTGAAAATAAACAAATACACATTATGACAGATAGAGAACGATATATAATTCCACAAAAGTAATGATTATATAATACACCGTGATGTAACTTGCATCAATATCTATAGTAGGAAATCCTTGCTTGATCCACTGATAATCAGTTTTTACAAAAGAAGATACAAATACAACCACAATAGACTATAAAGAAAAACCATAGTCTGCAGATATTTATTGTTAAAAGGTTAAGCCATCAAAGTAAATAAAAAAGAATGTACTTTTGAGATATTCTAAAGGATACTAGGGAAAGTAGTTTGGGATAAGAATGTGTCGAACAAATTGTACAAAACTTGGAAGGCACTAAAAATCCTTAAATAGGAAAAAAGAGATCGCATAAGGATATTAAACTCAAAACCCTCAACCAGAATTTTCGAATTAAGAATTGAAAACCACTCAGATTCATAAAACTTAGATATTCAAATCTGAATGATTGGAGTTAGCATGCAAGCAAGATATAAATAAATTGTGTGACAAATCATGGAGATAACTCGTAGAGCATCTCTAATAATATTATGCAAGCTCAAAGGGAATATGAACGGCCTAAAGGATGCCCATTTTCCTTCTATATTTCTACAAATTAACTTTAATACTATTGTGTATCAGGAATACATTCCTTCCTTCTATATTTCTTAGATATTTTGGTTTATTGTTGTGTCAAGTCATCTCTTTCTTGAGGACCAATATCGGTACAAGTTAAAAGTCAAAGAGTAACAGGAAAACAAGTTTGCCACTAATTGACTTGATCATGCAGACTAAGCCTTAGGGAAAAAATTGGATTACCTTCCACTTTCAGACAAAGGTTTCTTTGAGCTTTCTAACTCCACTCCTGATTTCAAAACGTATCTCCCTGGAGCTTGATAATTAGCAATCTGATGTCAAAATTGAATGAGAAGATATAATATCACTTAATGTTATTCGAATAATAGCATCAAGGATTTTCGTCACTTACCTTCTTAATAATAGGCTCAATTTTCTTTATAGAGTTTGGATATGAATCTGCAATAGCTTTCTCTAAATCCTATTAAAAAAGCAAGATTGAGAGAGATAAGTAGCAGGAGAAGAAAACAAGACATTGTTTGAATTTATAACACAGTTGGATACTGTAGAATTCCAGATGAACTATCACAATATCCAAAGTGATTTGATTGTTTCCCTTCCCATTTCTATTTAACATAATTTTGCTTGGAGAAAAAAGTTTTAAATTCCGTATCTGCATTCTTACACCCTCCCCAACAACTGGCATTCATTCTTATGCTCCACTCAAAGGATTCCTTTAAATTCAATACTTAGTCTATCATTTTGCCTTTTATAAATATCTGTAACACAATAATTTAGTTTATCATTTTGCCTTTTATAAATATCTGTAACACAATCAGACAATATAAAAGTGTATCAGCTTTTAGTACCCCCTGCTAAAACAGTAACAAATGCAGTACGAAACTAACATTTGGCTGTGCAGTTGGCAATAGGAAAATAGCTACCACGTGCTTTGATAAAAATGTGTTTGGAATAAAGTAGGGGAACTCATACTCGCTCTTGGATAGTAGTTTCATGATACGATTATCTATTATTATGCATGAAAACAATAGTTCATGCATAGCAAAGAATCTGGTTGGAAGCATGTTTTCTAAAGGATATTCTTCAAAAGATCTTTGAAACAGTATTCTTCAATGGATTTTATTTACAAAGCATGTGATTCAAATTGTTGAGAAATCTGTTTGAAGATGTGTATTGGTTTTTTTTTCTGAAAAAGATTTTAAAGCGGTTTTGTTCAAACAGATTGAGAAATAATTGTTTGTCATAAGACTAAAACTGTTTTAGTTATAGCTTGAAATGAAATAAACATGCAGAGCATGCATCATAGTCAAATTTATGAAATGGATATCTGATGGTTTCAGAACTGTTTAGGGAAAACTTATTTTCCATTTATTCAGATAAAGTTGGGTTTTAGGGTACTTAAGAACAGCGACTACATAAAAAATATGTGATGTATGTGCAGCTTTTGTGGCAAAGCCCAGGGGTTCCCATCGATATCCTGCAGCAGGCTGGCTAGAACTCTCATCCACTCATCTTGTGTGAAGTGGTGGGATGAGTCATATGTCCTTTTTGGGAATATATCATTTACAGTGGCATTTGTCCACGTGGAGTATATTATGTCTAAAATAAATCAAGATAAAACGACCTTATAAGATTGGACGATTTAATAGTAGACACATGGCCAATATCAAATATATTAAATGTCATTTTTTTTAGTGCATACCTTTATTCTCATCCCCTTGGAATTCTCCGTGAGCAAAGCAATCAACATACTCTGCAAATCTGTAGGGTTAGCTCCACTATTGTCTTTGCCCACTGTTTGTCGTGGTGCAGTACTGTTCCTGATTGGGATTTCTTTATCAGAGCTTGGAGCGGGCTTATCTTTTCTAGTCACTTGAAAGGGTATAACATCTTCTGCACTTGCATGACTCTTCAAACTATTTCCAGTTTTTAATGGAGATGATAGAGCCCCAGATTGCTCAGGTAGAGTTGGAAGAGGTGATGATGAGTACCTGCCCTTTGCAGCAGTTGCTGATGACATTCCAGTTTTAAATGTAGTTTTAGGGGGAGCTGAAAATTCAAATAATAGACTTCTTCAATGAAAATTTAAACTCAAATAAAACAATTTTACAGCTGTAAGCCTGGAAGAATATAAAATAGTGAAATGGAGGGAAGAGGGATAGTTACAAGGTTTACTTTGGCCAAGGATAGAGACAAGGTTCAATAGAGGGGACAGTTGTAAGAGAAATTTTTGGCGAAAGTTTATTATGATGAGCTAATTGGGGAAGCAGAAGACGAATCCTAGAAGATTGAATTAGGGTGTTCGGACAAAATAGTTTTTCTTGTACAGACAGTGGCACAAGATAAGTGTAAATGGTGGATCATTTACATAGTAGAGGTATGGCATTAGAGAATCACAGCATCATGTGCATGAAGGCACAAGAAACAGCCGACCACCACCCCAACAGAAAAAAAAGGTTAGAAAACAAAAGCTTCTACAAGGCTCCACTCACCTTGAGGCAGTTCAACTTTCTGCTTCTTAAACGGAGGCTCTTTTTTATGTTTGAAATTCCTCCATGGTTGATTAGCTGGAAACAAGTGAGGTATCAGATGCATCTGTTATGTAGTTCAGTGGCTTCAAAATTCTCATTTTGCACTCCAAACTTTCTATATTTAGAAAGAAAAATACACTTGAGAGGAGTGCAAAATGAGATTTTTAGAGTGCAAATAACTGTTCCCAAATTAAAACCAATAAATAATAGTTAAGTGAACATACATGATCAGCAGTCATTTAAACAAAACCAGAAGAAACAAAATTTAAAAATTTTTCATTAACATATATAACATTTTTATGAATGTTTTTCAATTTAGACTGGGGTTAAAAATTTATCGATCCTAATGACACTGCATTTCTAGCTAGTTCAATCTGATTTGCTTATAAGGCAATGTATATAGTGGAAAAATTTACATTAACTACACATCTCAAGCTCAGTGTTTTCCTACTTTGCACTAAACTATTAACTTCTACTCAAGTCAGAAAATGACTGTAGTTTATTAAAAAAATATGGAAATATATGATACTTGGATTGAAAACCTTACCTGCTGTAGTATCATATTGCTTTAACTGATTTGTTGGAGCTTTACATTGTTCTAGCACAATGGCTCTGTTTTCAGGAACAAAAACAAATTAAAGGGATAAGACACCAGTCGGAACAACTCAAAGGCATAACACAGTTGACGGTTGCAACACAAAAGACGTCAACCTTCTGATAATTGTCCTAAAATAAGTCTTGAAACTAGTCATGAAACTAAAATCATCAAATTACTTCTAGAAAAAAAATGCAACTAATTGGTAACCAGAACCACACAAGAATGATGGCAATTGAAGATAGATTTTGAAGATGTGCTAGGACAAATCTTCTGAAATGGATGAAAAACAAGTTGTTCTATCATTTGGAATGGGTGTAGAGGAATTTTGGATGTTAAAGGCAATTATAATGATAGTATTAGCACCTAAGTACCACCAAAAATAGTGTTCTATGTTGCAACCTCCTGAAGCAACCAAAGCAGATGCCGTTAAAGAAAATTAATAGTGCCAAAGTAAAAGAAACTGAAGAATGAATATGCATAAAACTACTGAATAATCAAAAAGCAAAGGAACTCCACGGTAACAATCAGACTACATACTTGCGGGATTTATTCTTGCGCTCAGCTTCCTCTGACCGCTGTTTAACACGGTTCTTGGTTGACTCGTCTAAGATACGCTGCACATTAATTTTGCGCCATGCACATCCTGATTCAACTAGCAAACCATTTCCACCTTCACCACTTTCACGCTCTTCATAAATGTCACAGAGGTCACCTAATTCCTTGTCCCATGTAAATGTAAATTCCTTCCCACCCAGATCAATAACCTGAAGCAATATTGAACCATTCAAAGCAATAAAAACATTAAGATTAATCACCACATCTAGATTAACAAGTATTAACAAAATTTCCATATTCCAATGGAGAGAATTAAAAGCACTCAAATTTTGTTATGTGGCCATGATAAAACTAAAGCAAAAACTCTGCAAAACATCAACCTTGCCAAAAGAATAACTTCAAAGTAATAATTCTGCATAAGAGTAACAAATAACCCCAAAAAGGAACAACATTTCACCTATATAAGCAACGCCAACCCGAATGTACCACTTCCACAAGAGAACTCAAAGTTCCCAAGAAAAAAAATATAAGAATAACTTCAAAGTAAAAAAAACCACAATACACCCAAACGAAAAAGTACAAAACTGATTTATGCAAAACCCAATTGAAGACTAACTAAGAAGAACACAAACCAAGTATAAGCCATGAAAAAAATTGAATAGTATTCCCACAAACCAGAATGTACAGAACCTAACGAAAAATTGAAGAAATTAAGCAATGCCCAAAATTAATTCTCCATGAAACTTCATAAAGCAACAAGATTTAAACAACTGACACGATACCGAAAAACTTGAGCAGTGAACAATTGAAACACAACCCAGAGACACACACAAGCAAAGTACAAACACTATGAAATCCAAAACCCAACAAAATTAGCAAAATTTAAGCAATTCCCAGTTCAAATACAAGAAACTCACATTGCCCATTGGGTTATTAGGCAACGGACCGAACTTGATGCGGGGCGCCCCACCTTGGTCCTCGACGCGCTTGATCTCTTCGACCAAGTCCGGCGCCATACGAATGATCACAGAGAAAGCAAGTGGGTTGCGGCCGGGGACTAAACTGAACTGCTCTTCCACGGCCGGCGGGGCGGCTGATGCCGTGGGGGGCCTGAGTTGCGGCCTCTGGGATTGGAGCCGCCGCCGAGGGAGAGGCGGCTGGTGGTGTGGGCGGAGGAGCGGTGGGGTGGAGGGAAGGAGGGTCGGCCAAGCTTGCCGGCTCCGGGTCCGCGGCCTGAGCCGCCGCCGCCGCCAACTCGGCCGGACTTGGATGAATACATTGGTGAGAGGTTCAGGGAAGACGGGACGTGGAACTGGATTTGGAATTTGGAATTGGCGTGGAATTGGGATTCTTGTTGTGAATTTTTCGAGTCACAAACAGAGCGAACCAAGTGGAATTTAAAAATAGGGAGTTTTCATGAAAAGGTATTGGGGCAACTTTTTTTTTAATAAAAAATCATCTTAAATTTTTATTTACCTAAAAGGATTTGAGATTTAACCATAAGAACACAACTATTTATACATCAGCCCTACAAACATTAAAATTACGGACCGAATTAAAGCCCAATCTGCAACAAAATATTTCTTTTTCCAAATTATCCTTAACTAACTAGCGACTCACCTTTTTTTATCGGTTTCCAATTTTGGGTAAAAGGTACCATTGGGTTTGTTCGCAGCCATAAGCATTTCAATTAGCCCTAGAGAGAGGAGGAGGTGGGGGAATTACAATAAACCGACACTAGGTAGGACAGAAAGTAGCATGGGAGATGGAGGTGGTTTTTATTGTACAATCTCTTTGCTGTTTATTTCTACATTTGGCACATTAACACTTATTTGGTAATTAATTTTCTTTTTGTTTTTAGTTTTGGGAAAGAAAAAGAATTTTAGTTTGGATTTGTTTTGGGTGTTTGTCGTTCAACATCGTTCTTATTTTGTTGTATTTTTAGAAAGGGAACTGTTATTAGCACTCCAAAAATCTCATTTTACACTTCAAACTTTCTATATTTGGAAAGAAAAATACACTTGTAAGGAGTGTAGATAGAGATTTTTGGAGTGCCAATAACACTTTCCTTTAGAAATAGTGTTTATTTTGTTCAATTCCATAAATAGTGTGGATTATTTTGCTTCAGTTTATGAAATAGTGTGGTTATTTTGCTATAGTTCCAGAAATAATACGGTTTATTTTGCTGTAGTTCCAGAATAGTGTGGATTATTTTGGTTCAATTTCAAAAATAATGTATGTTATTTTATTGTAGTTCCAGAAATAGTGTGGTTATTTTGGTTCAGTTTCAGAAATAATGTCGGTTATTTTGTTGTAGTTTCAGAAATAATGTTTATTTAGTTCACTTCCATAAATAGGTGTGGGTTATTTTGATTCAGTTTCAAAAATAGTGTGCATTATGTTGCTGTAATTTCATAAATAATGCGGGCTATTTTGGTTTAGTTTCAGAAATAGTGTATCATTTTGCTGTAGTTTTAGAAATAATGTGAATAAACTAAGCTCACTAATCAATGAATTTGATTTGCTGAAATTTGATCCAACAGCTACAAATAGGGAGCTCCTTTAAAAGTTATAATAATTGTACCCATTTGATCAAATTTCAATGGGTCGAATTCATTGATTAGTGGGGTCAGTTTCCTTGGATCCGGAGGGGATCTAGTTCTTTGCTCGAAACTGAATCCCCTCCATATCCCAATAAACTAAGCCATTATTCAAAGAATTTGGATCATTGAAATTTGATCTAACGACTACAAACAGAGAGCTCATCTAAAAGTTATAATAATTGTAGTCATTAGATCAAATTTCAACAGTCCGGATTCATTGATTAGTGGGCTCAATTTCCAAGCCATTTTCACTAGTTTTTTCTAAAAAATTAAGGGTAGTGCTTTTTTTTTTTTTTTTTTCACATATAGACAACTCCCTTTAATTTAATTTTAATTTTTATAATTTTTCAATTCATTCAATTTGACGACAAAATATTTAAAAAATTTGATACTCAAAATTGAGAGTATATGTGGAAGCTAAAAGATAGTATATAGATGCAACTTAATACTGTGGTCTAGTGATATTCCTATTTACTTGTAAGTGAGAGATCTTATGTTCGACTCTCAGACTCTCGTCAAATGCGAATTTAAACCATATATTGCTAGCCCATTGTGAAGCTATGTTTACCCCCTTTGTCACATCCCGGCCCGGGCGGGACCACTTCCCGGGCCCGCTCCACTACCGTAGCACGATATTGTCCGCTTTGGGCTTACCATTCCCTCACGGTTTTGTTTTTGGGAACTCACGAGCAACTTCCCAGTGGGTCACCCATCATGGGATTGCTTTAGCCCCCTTCTCGCTTAACTTCGGAGTTCCTACGGAACCCGAAGCCAGTGAGCTCCCAAAAGGCCTCGTGCTAGATAGGGATGAGAATATACATTTAAGGATCACTCCCCTGGGCGATGTGGGATGTCACAATCCACCCCCCTTAGGGGCCCGACGTCCTCATCGGCACACACGCGGCCAGGGTTAGGTTCTGATACCAAATTGTCGCATCCCGGCCCGGGACGGATCACTTCCCAGGCCCGCTCCACCACCGTAGCACGATATTGTCCGTTTTGGGCTTACCATTCCCTCACGGTTTTGTTTTTGGGAACTCATGAGCAACTTCCCAGTGGGTCACCCATCATGGGATTGCTCTAGCCCCCTTCTCGCTTAACTTCGGAGTTCCTACGGAACCCGAAGCCAGTGAGCTCCCAAAAGGCCTCGTGCTAGGTAGAGATGAGAATATACATATAAGGATCACTCCCCTGGGTGATGTGGGATGTCACACCCTTCCCTCAGTGTAGATACTAGTATTTGTTCAAAAAAAAAAAAAAAAGATAGTATACAAATAGCACCACCCTTATATTAGAAGTATGTTACTCTCCTAGTTAATTAGACATGTTTATGATTCCTACGTCGTTGTTTAGGATTTTTAGTACCTACGAAAAAAAGGTTAAAATCACACAAAATACTTACAAGAGTACAAGAATGTTGTAGTATAAATGCTTATGCAAGGTTATTCTCCACAAGGACTATTTAAATAATTTATGTAAAAACAATCCTAATTAACTACTTAAAACTAAAAATTTAGAAGTATGATTTGGAAATTGGGTAATATTAAAAACGAATTTTAATTAAAAAAATAGTAAATTCGTCCAAAATTAATAAAAGAAAAGAGTTTTTAAATATCAATTTATAAAAGCACTAAGGTTCCTCTATTACCTAGCAATTTTATGTTTTTCCTAATATATATCTATTTAGAACCTCCAACATATAACGTATATCTAACAAGTAATCCGTTCGAACGTTTGGATCAAATATAAACATGAGAGGCTCATTATGTTTTGCGAAAACTCTTTGAAAAATCATGCAAACCTTAAGACATGGTGTTCATCTTAAGTGAAATTACAATTATTAATCACAAGAAGCCATCGTCAATTTCATGAAACCTTCCGACCAAAATTGCATCAAAATTTTTGATACCAACTGTGATTCCAACCCCATATTGAACCATGTTATCCTGTGTTCACCCTTTCTGTCACTAAAATTAGCGTCGACACCGTCAAACACGTGAGCCTTAACATATAAGTAATAAATAAATAAATAAAAATTTCAACAATGAGCACATCTAAGCTCAAAACATACAATATGTAAATGCTTTTTCGAACACATAAATTATGAGTGGGCACCGAAGCAACTAAACTAACAAATTAGAATCATTTTGGTCGGTTTGGTTTGGTTTTGACTAATAGAAAAGTCAAATAATTTAAATCTGCATCGAATCGATTTATTTTTAGTTTCGTTCAATTTTTATACTTTTAAAACTGATCAAAACTAAACCGGACCTACCATATCTCTTGTAATTATTTGTTTTATTTATTATAAAAATGTCAACGTTAGATTATTTTGATGTCTTACCATACACATATTACAAGTTGTAACGACTGGTAACAATTAGAGATTTGTCTGCATTTTATGCTTATATGAGATTGCAACTAACAAAATCGTTTGCTAACGTGAAATTTAATTTAGCTAAAACTTAGTCTTGGTTGATTTGATGTAAATTTTATGTTTCAAAAACTTAATATTTTGATTGAATTGGAATGTGTGAAAGGTTTGAATTTCAGAAAATTAAAAATATAAAATACTGGACGTTTAATTGATGTGTTGGAATAGGTTTAAACCAACCAAACCAAACTGATTAATAATGGCTTAGTTGGTTTGGTTTCAATAGTGGTATGGTCAAAATCAAACCAAACCAAACTATCCATGGGCCATGTTATGGTTAACAAAGATAAATCCATTGCTGATTTATTTATAAGTGATAAGTCTTAGGTTAAATTCTCGTTAATTGTGAATTTGAACCACATTATTACTAGCCCGTTGTGAGACTTAATCTACTTACTCACTTCTTAGTGTAGATAATATAATTTGTTCAAAAATATCAATTATTCTTTCAGCCTAATAGGTTCCAGCCTCTTCTCACCTAAACATTTTGAAACCCCCCCCCCCCCCCCCCCCAAAAAAAAAATCTCATTAGATCATTTTCAATGAAAATGTCAAATTAAGCAGTCAAATTAAAATTGATAGTTGATGAGGCAACCTGAAATCTTATGTTAAATTTTGTGTTTCTCCAACCAAATTGTCATTGAAACAAAATTTTTATTAGCTGAAATGCTAGTGAAATAGGAAATTCATCATTAAACTAATAAAAAATGAATGGACGTCCACGTCAAATAATTCATATTTACAAAGACTTCAATTCAATCAGCAAATAACATTTCGGTTGAGATAATTTTCTATGCTGGTAGTGACATTTCCACCCAAGTTTGTCTTTCACGTTGGAGATGCTGTTAGGTTTTTGTTACCGACACGGAGTCGAAAACTCGGGTCGGACTTGCCCACTTTAAAACAAAAGCCAGAAAGCCTGGAACATTGAAGCACATTTCTCTTTGCCTGTTCTACAAGCTAATAAACTCTGCAAAAACCCGAACCTCCGTTACTCACCGATCTTCGAAGCTCCAAACCTTTTCCGCCATGCTTAACGGTAAGAGCGCTGCTCGAGCTTAATTTTATATTATATTTTATTGATTTTATCTGTATTTCAAATTGGTATTTATACTTGATTATTTTTAATTTCGAGCATTTCTGGCGTGTAATGTTTCACTTTGGGGGCGAACTTAGGGGTTTTCATTCAGTTCTGTGATCTAGGTTACCGGAGATTTGTGGTGTTTGATGCGCCTAAGCAGTTTGTTCGTCCGTCTTTTTTTGAGTAATTTGAGCTCGATTTGTAGGTTGTATTTGGAAATTAGGATCTGGGTCCTTGTAGTTTTGGGATTTCTGATGTGGGTTTTCGTGTTTAAGTGGAGTGGTTTAGTTACGCATATAAATTTCTCTGTCAATTAGGTGTGTTTGCTATTTCATCTTATGCAACAATGTTCATACCATACAATCGAAGAATCCCATTAGAGGATTAACTAGTTTTAACTTAGCTGAAATTTGGGATTTCTCATGTGGGTTTTTATATATCAAGTGGACCGGTTCAGTTGCACATATAAATTTCTCAGTTAATTTGGCTTCTCTTTGCTGTATTCATCTTATGCAACAATGTTGCATAGCATACTAGCGAAGAATTTAAGGTGTTGCTGAAAACGCAGTTTTACAAGACTCCAGTTTTTTTTTTTCTTTTTTTTTTTTTTTAATTAAACATTCCGCGTGTGTTTTGGTTACTAACCAAACATTAAGGGTGTGGTGCCTGTACTAACCTGAGTAGGCATAGGGCATGCTTATACGACTTCACAGTGAACATATTGCAACACCTTTACCCATCTGATTTAAGTTCCATCAAGAATGCAACTGCTTTAATGCCCCACTTCATTACAAGCCCATGCTACTAGACTTCAGACTTTTGTTAGATTCGAATGAACTAGTCTTAGTTGGGTACCGAATTTTTATTCTTTCCAGATGCTATTAGCTTAGTCTGAGAATGGTATAGATGGATTCTTATAAGATATGTTGTTCTGCAGATTTGTAACTTGTTACTTGGGTTTGTAGATTCTGTTATTGACATTTGTGGTTTATTACTCATTTTCAGTGAGTGTAAAATGGCAAAAGGAGCTGTTGAAAGCTGTGGAAATTGATACTACTCAGCCACCTTATGTATTTAAATGCCAACTATACGACTTAACAGGGGTACCTCCTGAAAGACAGAAGATAATGGTTAAAGGTGGTTTATTGAAGGTAAATAGATCGCTCAGGCGTATTTAAATTGTCCATATATACATATGTCTTGTTCTTGATGCTGGAATGGTCAAGTAAATCCTTTTTCACACACCAATTAAAACTTCCTGTACAAAGATGAATTTGGATATTATATGCCTAACCTTTTTTGTGTTTGTATGTTTTTTAAATGTAGGATGATGCAGACTGGTCGACTCTAGGAGTAAAAGACGTGGGTTTTTGTTAAGCGAATCACAATTAGTATTATATGTATCTTCTTCTTATTATTGTTGCTTTAATCACAAATCTTCATTGTTTCCTACAAGAAAAAGAAATAATCGATAATATATACATTTTGTAGGGTCAAAAATTGATGATGATGGGGACAGCAGATGAGGTTGTCAAGGCTCCAGAGAAGGCTATTGTATTTGCAGAAGATCTCCCAGAAGAAGAACAAGCTCTTCACTTGGTAAGTTCTATGTAGTTGTGTTTTGCAGATTTAAAAAGCTGTCTTTTCATCTTAGTGGACCTTGTGCTGTTATTATGACATACGTGTGATATTTTTCTGCAAACTTCTCCCATCTCTTTCATTTAGAGTTTTGCAAATTTCTGTTGTCTTTTTAATTTGACCTTGTGCTGTTATTATGATATGCTAGTGGCTCTGTAACATTTTTATTTTTTTCTTACTTTTCTGTGATTATGACATTAATTAGGATTTTGTGCTGGACTCTTCTGGTAAGTTTCCTTGTTGGCTAGTAGTGCCAACACATTATTTTATTCTCATTTGCATGTGAATCATTATCAGAAATAATGGCTTCAGAGCATTCTCAATTATGCCACTTTTATATCTTTGAAGGTTCAGTCGTAAAATGAACTTTTGTGTCCTTTTCTCTTTTTATTTCAGTAATTTTAACTTGTTAGAATTTTTATGTGTTTCTGAATTTCATGATTTTATTTTGGGTTTCAATATTTTTTCCTTTTCTTTTTGCCATGTGTATAAATTATTTCGAACTATGTTACTTTTATTTCCAGGGTTATGGTGCTGGTCTATTTAACTTGGGAAACACCTGCTATATGAACTCCACCATACAATGTCTGCATTCTGTTCCAGAGTTGAAATCAGCTTTGATCAAGTAAGTTAGATTCTTCAGTTAAAGAATGCATTTCAATTTCTTACAATTGTTTTTCCTATCAGACTAGTGATGACAATGTATTATTTCTTCAGGTATTCACATTCTGGAAGAAGCAATGATGTGGATCAGACTTCTCATATGTTGACTATTACAACTCGTGATTTATTTAGTGAACTGGATAAAAGTGTCAAGGCTGTGGCACCCATGCAATTTTGGATGGTTTGTTATCTTTATTCACTGTTTTAATTAAATTCTTGAACTACTTTTCATCTGTCCATGAAGCTTGAGAAACTTGTACTGTATATTCTTAATTCTTGCATTTTACTTTGGATAGAAACTATGTCATGGAGCCTAATAATCATTAGTGTATTGGTAGTTTCTTACTAGTACAGGCGGAACGAATAACAAGTTGGTTTGTTGTTATATCTGCAGGTATTGCGCAAAAAGTATCCTCAATTTGGTCAGCAGCATAATGGTACCTTCATGCAACAGGTTTTCAATTTGGGATTTTATCCTGTTGTAAGGCTACATTTTTTCGGTCTAGCTACTTTGGTAGTTTATTGATTTTTTTTTTTGTTCTTAATGCATAACAGGATGCTGAAGAATGTTGGTCACAGCTTTTATACACCCTTTCTCAATCTCTAAGATCGTCCGGTTCTAGGTGTGTTTTTTATTTTATTTTTCTGCTTTTAGATATGTGTAGGAAGTTAGGAGTTGAGAGTGGTTTAATGACCTTAGGCTTAACCTAATGATCTATGGAAACTGAGTCCACTTTGATTGTTATGTATGCTAAATTTGGGTACTAATACTTTTGTAAGCAATTTTTGTCTTTGTTTTCTTTGAACTCCTAAGTTCTTTTAGGTCCAGTAGCAATTTTTGTTCTCTTTGTTTCGGTTGCCAGTCTTTGTTCTGCTGTACATATATTGGAAATTATACTGAATAATGTTCTCTTGCAGTGAAAGTCCAGACTCTGTTAAAGCACTTTTTGGCATTGAACTTGTTAGCAGGTTAGACATCTGCAACTTATCAATTTACTGTATTCTAATTAGATATTGACTAACACTCAGTTGCAGTCTGAGATAACCTAACATTTTTCAGTTTAATTATGAAATTAATAATATATACTTCAGTTTTTATGACTGGCTTAAATTTTTTTTAACAGTTAACGTTTGAATAATTTGTTCAGTTTATTCTTGCTGGCTTGATATATTACTTGCTTGTTGAAGTTCATATTTCATTTATGAGTTATAAGTTTAATGAAGCTGAGATTTTTCTACCATTTGTTACATTTATTGATGTGGTGGACTGCTAGGGTGCACTGCATAGAAAGTGGGGAAGAAAGCTCAGAAGCAGAGTCAGTTTATTCTCTGAAGTGCCACATATCACATGAGGTGAACCATTTGCATGAAGGGTTAAAACATGTAAGAATAATCTTCTTCATTTCATTTTGTGTGTGCGTGCTAGAATGTGTGATGATATTATCATGATACTCGATAGTAATTACAGGGTCCTCATATATTACACTTCTTCATGCAGGGTTTAAAATCAGAACTGGAAAAAAATTCTCCTTCCTTGGGGCGTAGTGCCATCTATGTCAAGGAGTCTCTTATCAATGGCCTTCCAAGGTACAAAAATGACTACATGTATATTAATGCATTATTCTTGATTCTAACCTGTTAGTCACCAACATGTAATGATTTGCACTATTACATAGTGCGCTTAGTATCTTGTGCGCTTATTTAAGGTTCTGATTGTTAATCATTTCGGTTTTAGTTTAGTTAGTTTTCATTTTTTGTGCTATGAAGAATGTAGGAGAAAGGTGGAAATAAGAAAGGTAAAGGAAGGATGGTGGAAGAAATGCGAAAAGGACTATGTATGAAATGCTCCATAGGAGTCCATACACACACAAAATGAAAACCAAACAACCAAATACTGGAAACAATTCCAAATTGTTTTCACTTTCATGTTTTTGTTTTCATACAATCTTCATTTCTCTCTCCCTCCCACCATCTCTGTTCGTCCCTTTCCATTCCTCATTCTCCCCTATGCTTTATTTCTATTTCTAGCACAAAAAATAAAAATTATGAGCTAAAATTGATATGGTTATCAAACAGGCCCCAAGTTCTGGATGGGTGGCTAATTGTGTGTAGTCTGCCCTTTTGACTTAACTCAAAAAAATATTACAAAAGGGGAATCTTACAGTTAGTTTTTTTTTTTCCGTCTAGGTACCTGACCATTCAGTTTGTACGTTTTTTCTGGAAGAGGGAATCAAATCAGAAGGCCAAGATTTTGCGGGTAATGCCTTTTTTTTTCCTTCTGATGTACAAATTTGTCGTTTGTCTCCTTCCATATCATTTTAGGTGGAAAAAGAAGTTATTTCCTTAAAAGAGTTTCTACATATGTGTTGAGTATGCTTTACAGTTTTTTTTTTTTTTTTTTGGCAAGTTTACTGCAGTGCTATCTTATTATGAAACTGTTATTAGCAACACTGCCTAATAAACTGTTTTCTCTTGTCTTAGAAAGTCGATTACCCTTTGCAATTGGATATTTTTGATCTGTGTTCAGATGATCTTCGCAAAACATTGGAAGCTCCTCGTCAGGTATATACTTCTCTTTGATTTTGATGAACTTATGTTAACATTTGGTAAAAAACATCGACTGTTATTCTGTTGTACTGGTCCTAATTATTTCCAACCTCAACTTTCAGAGACTGAGGGATGAGGAAGGTAAAAAACTTGGTTTGAAACCCAGTGAAAAGAGCTCTGATTCAAAAGACAAGGATATCAAGATGTCTGATGTGGAGGTGATTATACAACCTAGCTATACACTTTTTCTCAGAAACCTCATGCACTGCCTATTTGAATACGTATAAAGCATCACCCTCTTTTCTGCATGCAGGGATCCTCAAACAGAAGTGGAGAATCATCTAATCCTACATCAGATGAAGGTAAAAATCAATCAACCTTCATAAGTTCAACCTTGTGATTTTTTTTTCTTTTTTTTTTTCCACTCTGGTTGTTTGAGTCCTTAGTTAGCCCTTATTTCGCCGTCCATTTGCTGCAGGTGCTATGACTGGAATTTATGATTTGGTTGCTGTGCTGACACACAAGGGCCGTAGTGCAGACTCTGGCCATTATGTTGCCTGGGTCAAGCAAGAAAGTGGTCAGTTTTCTGGAATAACTGCTAGTTTGTCTACATGTGATAAATTCAAACCTTTTAACTCATGGAATTATTTTGTTTGGTCAAGGGAAATGGATCCAATATGACGATGACAATCCCTACCCACAGAAGGAGGAAGACATCACCAAACTCTCTGGAGGAGGTAAGATTGCTGAAAATTCTTCTTACGAGAAAGTTGATAAAAATCCATGTGATGCCGTTATGTATCTTATAGCATATATAGATCTCTAACAGCCGCGCGGCTCACCTGTGAACTTGTCAATTAGCAGTGCCTAAACCTACTTACTGATGTCTTGGGCAACACTCTTTCTGCTTGCACCCCGCCGCTTTGGCATCTATCTGGTTAGCTTAATATTGCCGTCACTCTTGACTAGTTTTTGCTTGTTTCAGGTGATTGGCATATGGCCTATATCTGCTTGTACAAGGCCCGTACCATCCGCATGTGATATTTTCCTTTACCTCAATTGAAATTGAAACACCCTTTCAGTTTACATTTCACAGGGATTAGAGTCTACACAACTGTATCGTGTGCAATTGAAATTTGTCCCCAATGTGTGTTACAAGGAAAAATTCATGGAATTTTAGACGTTTTTTTAATTATGTAAGCAAATTTATTTGGTTTACGTTGAAGTTTGTCCTAAATGTGTGCTAGAACGAAGACTCATTGCCATTTAGATGTTTCTTTAATTTGAGTGTTACATGTTTTGCCGGAATGCTCGAGTTACTGTAACAAAATATAGACGGTGAAAGTCGAATTAAGCTGCACGACTTCTTGTCCCTTCTTATCAGCTCCTCATAGTTATAGTAGGGCATATTGCAGACGAATCCCACTCGTGCGACCCCGAACCTGCGGCTGTGGCTTCGGATAGGGGTTGGAGGAAGCGCTATCCCCCCGAGCCAAGTGGAGCATGCATGGCGTCAAATGCTGCTTCTATTCTTTTCCTTGGCACAGCTGGGTCATTCTGGACTTGAACTAGAGACCTCGCCTGTGAAGTAAATCATCGCACAACCTAGCTCAGGGTGTGTGGACTGCATTTGTAGTAAGCATGTGGGAAATATTTGGTTTTGCAGCACAAAACGAAGCCATTATATGTCCCTACCGTAACTGGATCTTCTTTCAATCGGGGAAACTCTAGTCTTTCAAACAGCGGAGCTAGCAGTAGCACATTTGACAACGACAACGATGTCAGTCTAGCAAGTCAGTCTTCCCCTTCCAAGCTTATCACTTGGAAACACACAGATTGAAAAACGAATCAACTGCTTGGAAGCTGACAAAGAATTTCCGTTAACAAATCGTCAGAGAAATCGCCAAAATTACTAGCATTCATCCAATTCGATGATGATCGATAAGACGATGTTGTTGATAGTTTTGGCTGCTATCTACCTCCTGTCTCTATGTTATATAACTTATATTTCAAGGACACGCAAGCGTAACAGAAAAATTAGACATCTAGGAATACTACTACGTAACAAAAACATATCAGAAAGATTCCATCGTATTAGCGGCCTCTATATGCTAAAGTTATATAAAGAAGCCATTTAGCGGCTTTCTTTTGACATGTTTTAGGTTTGAATCACATGGATGATAAGTTCGATATCAAATTCTATATATCGCTGCATAGAAAAGAAGTTGATAAATACTTCTTCTTTGGGCCTCAACGTGGTAAAATACTTCTTTAGGATTCCTTGTTCCATAAGTATTATAATAAATATAGTATACATTTTCTTACTCTTCAAGGGATTGTCTTGTATGTATATATAAAGGAAACAAAGCGTTTTCAAAAATCGAAACCTTTTTTACAGGTTTCGCAAAACGAGTGTGTTTGGGTGACGGAGTTCCAAGTCTCAATTGATTGAGGATAAGCTAGTAAGCAATAGACTACAAAATGTTTTACAGAGCGGGTAAGAAAAAGTCCTCATGAATGTCTTTTCTAGTTCCTCTATCAAACTTTTTATAGTCCATCTCTTACTAACTAATTTGGTTTCAATCCATCCAAACTTGGAAATCCTTCACCCTAATGTAGCCTTAATAGTGCTTATATGTTTGAGAAGCAAAGAACTAACAATTGCTTTCGATGGAAACTCTTTTTCCAAGTACTTTTTTCAAGAAGAGCATGAATTTTCAACGCGAACTAAAGGATTTATGGTATTGACAAAAAATCAAAAGGACACAATTTGATATGTTGAGAAACAAAGCGGTTCGAAGCAATCAAACCAAACAAAACACAACTCCTCCCCTCTATTAAGCATTGGAAGCTCCTCGCAGTCGATCATATACCTTGGCAATTGTATATTCCTTCATCAGTGTTCAGACAATCTTAGCAAAACTTTGGAAGCTCCTCGCAGGTGTAGGGTACATACTTCTCTTCGATTTTTGATGTAACTTATGCAAACATTTGGCTACGAATATTGACTGTTATTTCTTATGTACCGGTCCTAATTATTTCCAACTCAACATTCAAACTCTGAGGGACGAGGAAGGTAAAAAAACTTGGAACAAACAAAGGAAGGTGAAGTAAAGGATAATTAAAAACTGTGATTAGAAAAGATAAAATAGGACATAAAGTAGATATAGATAAAGCAAACTCATATTTATTTATGAGAAATTTTATTTGAACCCATATAACTTCTTTCTACATCCAATTTAAATTTTAAATGTGAATTATCTTCTTTAACCTATTGCATAATTACCATCAAATACAAGATCAAATTAACAACAAAACTAAAATTTATCAATAAACCATCCAATAATCAAACTCTACCTCATACACCTTTATCCTTTGTTCACTCTGACCTAAAACCCTAAGACTCTCTTATGGAGAAAAACAAGCTTTTGTTGACCGATGATGATGATTTTGAAGTTTTGAATCCTTAAACTAAACTATAAATTGATTTATGCAAGTTTTGTTTTCGTAAATTTGATAGAGTCAATAATTACTTGTAACATTCTAATTTTCTCCAAAACTTCAAATAGAAATTACATATGATGGAACAGTTTTCAACGAAACCAAATTTATTATGTTAGAATGGTAAAATAGTAGGAATAGTCCAGTTTATTAAAATAAGTCCAATTTGTTATATTTAATTATTAATTATCAATAGTTATCTGTTCAATGATAAGATTTATTATAAAAATCAAATTTCTTCCAATTATCTCTTTGCTTATTTCTTTTTTTTATCTTTTGTTATTTCTCATTCTTCCCCTACTTTAAACCCCATTTATAGATTTATTTTTAATTTTTATAATCAACCTATATCACAGGTTAATTATATTTAACCTATATGACAGATTCTTTTTTTATAAAACCTGTCACAGATTAATGTGTCTTTTTGTTATTTCTCGTTCTTCCTCCTACTTTAAACCCCATTTATAGATTTTATTTTTAATTTTTATAATCAACCTATATCACAGGTTAATTATATTTATCTACCTATATGACAGATTCTTTTTTTATAATCAACCTGTCACAGATTAATGTGTCTTACTTGTCGGTATGTTATGTTTTTTCTACATTTTAATTAGGTTTCATATCTCACGTATAGGTATTATATACATTCATATATTTGTTACTTGAGTTAGGGTATAATGTTTTGTAGATAAATTTATGTTAGTATATTAGTTTTTTGTTATAAGATATTAAATATATTCTTTTGGAGTTGGAAAATGCATAATATTAGAAGATTTTAATTGATTTTTAATACTTTTAGAAAATATAAAATGAGTATAAAAGAAATAAAAATATATAATTAGATAACTGGACTCACTCCTAAAAACACTCTACATTTTTGGACCTGGATCTAAAAGCCCCTTATTTAAAAAGTATCTGCATATCGTTCTAATGAATAACAGATGACCGATAATATGCTTCTAATACTGTTGGGTGTGCCTCTATAGCGGCTTAAGATCATTAAGTGCCTCACTATAACGATTCACCTTTATTTTCTGTGAAACCTTCTCAAACAACTCAGCCGCATTACCAGGTTTTCCATCTACACATGCAAAGCAGGCCTGATGATCCCTTTAACAGCATATTCGAATTATATATTAGACATTCCCTTGGTGGATGATCCCGTTAAACCAGCTCAGTCTCCTGACTAGATGCTATAAATGCATAATCTCAAAGCATGAATATATTTTTGGTGCCTGAACAGAAAATTTTGTTTTATTTTGTCTATTCTCTCATGTTTTAGGGAAAACAAATTAGCAATCGATTAACGATAGAAAATAATGTGTTACCTTAAAGTCTTCGGTACTTCATTCGCAAATCCTGATTGTACAATTGGCCAAATATCCTTCGCCTTTGCAAGAACAACATTCATTGACTTAGTCATTTCATCATGCACCTCTAGTTGGTATTCTACAAGTGAAGTAAAGATAAAGATACCAAGTCATGACAGTTCATATAGTTTAGGCAACCAATTATTCTTGTTACACCTGTAAAGTTTTGGTTAGGTTGTTATATTTGTTACAGGTTTTTAGAGAAAGTTTTGTTAATGTCTTTGACTATATATACACCCCAAAGCTAAGTGTAATAATTAAGTCAGTAAATGAGAAGAGGATTATTCAGTAAAACCATTCTTCCGTTTTCCTTTGGTTTCTTCGTGGTATCCATTGCCACCTGCCTCACGAAACTCTTCAATCCTAGTCTCTTCAGCTGTGCTTCTCCGATCTCTTGATTGATCTCCAATCTATAAGAAATTAATTGTTGTTGTTCTCTAATCTTGATTTTTGTCTTCTTAATCTTGATCTCTGATGGTGTCACCTACTGAATCCTCTTCTCCGATTTCAACTCAAAATCCCAATTCTTCATTTCCAAACCCTAATTCGTCCCAATCCTACACTTCTCTTACAATTCAAAACAGTAGTAGCATGATGCTGAACAAGCTCAAGCATTCGAATTATCTGCCATGGTGTGCTCTTTTTACCCCAATTCTTCGGCACTACAAGCTTCTTGGACTTATTGATGGAATTAAGCCTTGTCCGGCGCCATTTTTACCATATCGATCGATCAATCCTGCTTTCGAGAGCTGGTATGAGAAGGATCAGAATCTTCTCATCTGGTTTAATTCAACACTCTCTAAGGAAGTCATTCCATTTACTGTTGGTGTTTCTTCGTTCAGAGATCTGTGGCTCAAACTTGACCAGCGTTTTGGTGGTGTTTTTGATGCTCATATTCATTAGCTTCGTTCTTGTTTTCAGTGTATTCAGAAGGGCTCCCAATCAATAGTTAACTATCTGCAACAAATCAAGGATATTTTTTATTCCCTCACTGCAGCCGGAGCTTCTGTTTTAGACCGTGATCTTATTGCTGCTACACTGGTTGGTCTTCCTGATGAGTTCAAATCCTTCATTGATTCTATCATGCTTTGTCTCTCTTCAACATCTCTTGGTGAATTACATGGATTGTTACTTACAAAAGAGCTTTCCATGAATCGAAGGAAGAAAATTACCTCATCTGCAACCACTAAACCGTTTCGTGCTCTCTCGGTCCAAGCTTCACCACCTCTTCTTCCTGTGCCACCTCAGGCATTTGCTGCTCAACATCTACCACTTCACAACTCTTTTCAAAATAATTCCAATCATGGCAGGAACAATCGATTTTCCGACAATCGGGGCAATAAAGGCAATAATCGGGGCAACTACAATTCTGGCTTCACTTATGGTTCCAATCGTGGTCATAATTACAACTCTCATGGTTCTTTTTCCTCTGGTGTTTGTATTTCTTGCTAGATCTGTGGAAATACAAGTCATGAGGCCATAGATTGCTTTGATCACATGAATCCATAAATTTCTGGTAAAATCCCTCCAGCAAAGCTTGCTGCAATGTGTGCGCATTATACATCAAAGCCATCTCCTCCTTCCTGGCTCATTGATTATGGTGCAACTTCTCACATTACCAATGACATCTCCAACTTCTCTTCTCCATCTCTTTACACAGGTGAAGATAAAGTGTATATTGGTGATGGTAAAGGTCTGTCCATCAACCATATTGGTTCATCTTTGTTACATACTCCTAGTACTTCTTTTAAATTGAATAATGCACTTCATGTTCCTCAAATGAAGCCCAACTTGTCGTCTGCTTTTCAATTTGTCAAAGACAATTCATGTTCATTGACACTTGATTCTGATGGATCCCTTGTAAAGGATTGTTCTACAGGGAAGATGCTTTTGCGGGGACTAGTTTGAGATGGATCCTATCCTTTGCAAAGCTTTACTTCAAATGATACCTCTTCTTCAATTTCTTCATCAACATTTGTTAGTATTAAAGCTCTAGTGAAGATTTGGCATAGTAGATTGGGTTATCCCTCCTCCAATATTTTTCGAAAAAGTGATTTCTGGTAATAAGCTTAAACTGCAAGGTAAATCCTCAGTTGACTTTTTATGTTCGGATTGTGCTATAACTAAAAACAATAAACTGCTTTTTCACCCTGCTGGTTCATCCACATCCCATAGTCTAACTTTAGTTCATTGTGATGTATGAGGACTTGCCCCTGTAACTTCTGTGAGTTGTTTTTAGTATTACCTGCTGTTAGTAGATGATTACACCAGATATAGTTGGTTCTTTCCTTTGAGAAGAAAATATGAGGTGTATTCTACCTTTGTAACTTTCAAGAACTATGTGGAAAAATTTGTTGGTAATCAAATAAAGGCTATATGTTTTGACCCAAGGGGTGAATTCACTAGTGCTTCTTTTCAGTCTTATCTTAATTTGCATGGAATTTCTCATCAGTTTAGTTGCCCACATACACCTGAACAGAATGGATGTGTAGAACGAAAGCATATGCATCTTGTAGAAATAGCCAGAACATTGTTAGTAGCTTCTAATGTTCCTAAAGTTTATTGGGTTGAAGCTTTATCCACTGCTACTTGATTAACAGGTTGCCTATTTCTGGTCTTGCAAAATCTCCATGAGAGTTATTATTTCATACATTACCAGATTATACTAAGCTAAAGGTTTTTGGGTGTAGTTGTTACCCATGGTTAAAACCTTATGTCACCTCTAAACTTGATGGCAAAAGCAAGCAGTGTGTTTTCCTTGGGTATGGTTTACAACATAAGGGTTATAAGTGTTTAGACATGACCACTGACATAGTCTACAACTCTCGCCATGTCTTATTTGATGAGAAGTCTTTTCCCTTTAAAGTCAGCTTCAACTTCTGATTCTATCCCTAATGTCTCTTCTATTATTAACCTGCAATTTCCCATTTCCAATTCCCAATCTATCTTACCACGTTCTCACTCCATCAATCCTTCTTTAAATGCTCATACATCTAGTGAATATGTATCACTACACAATTTTAGCTCTTTACAATCTCACTCATCTTCTCCATCTTTACCAGTCCAAAACATTCATCTTATGATTACTAGATCAAAGAATGGCATTTTTAAGCCTAAAGCTTACATTGCTCCCAAACACCCTTTATCATCATCTCTTGATTATATACCAACAACCTATAATCAGGCCTCTAAATTTGCTGAGTGGAGATTAGCCATGCAAGCTGAATTTAATGCCCTCCAATCAAGTAGAACATGGATTTTGGTTCATTCTTCTTCATCCAAGAATGTTATAGGATGTAAGTGGGTATTTCGAATCAAGAATAACATTGATGGAACCATTGATAGGTATAAAGCCTGGCTTGTTGTCAAAGGTTTTCATTAAAAAGAGGGTCTGGACTATCAAGAAACCTTTAGTCCTGTGGCAAAGCCTGTCACTATCAGAATTTTGTTAACTTTTGCTAAGTAATTTAATTAGTTTTTGCATCAACTTGATATTAGTAATGCATTTCTTCATGATGATTTAAAAGAAGAAGTATTCATGCATTAGCCACCTGGTTTCAGTAATCCAAACTTTCCAAATCATGTGTGTCAACTCAAAAAGTCCTTGTATGGACTCAAACAGGCTCCAAGGCATGGTTTGATAAATTGTTTCAAGCTCTTAATTCTCTTGGTTTCACTTAATCATCATCTTATGCATCTCTCTTTGTTCTCAAGGTTCCAGTTCTTGTTATTGTCCTTGTATATGTGGATGACATATTGGTCAGTGGTCTAAATTGATCAGTGTGTAATCTATTCATCAAGAAACTGAGTTCTTTGTTCCCTATAAAGGACTTAGATTCCTTACATTATTTCTTGGGTCTTGAAGTTCAACGAACCAAAGAGGACTCTTTCTACATCAGGGCAAATATCTGATGGACTTGTTACAAAAGACAAAAATAGAGGGTGTGAAGCCTTGTTCTACACCTCTTGGAACTGCCAAATTGGATCATAGTGGTACAACTTTGGAAAATCCAATAGAGTATAGATCCATTGTGGGAGGCCTACAGTGGACTCGGCCTAATATCTCATTTGCAGTTAATCAAGTATACCAATTCATGCATACTCCAACTGAGTTACATCTGCAAGCAACCAAGAGAATACTCAGATTTCTCAAAGGAACATCTTCACATGGTATATGGTTTCATAAAGGCCCTCTCACTCTATCAGCCTACTCTGATGGAGACTGGGCTGGCTTGCACTTTTGATAGGAGATCGTAGATTTTATGTGTTTCTTGGATCAAACTTAGTGAGCTAGAGTGCTAAAAAGTAGCCTACAGTAGCTCATTCTTCTATTGAGGCTGAATATCGTTCTCTAGCTCACACTGCAGCTGAAGTTACATAGATCTGTAAAGTTTTCAGAGATTTTGGTTTCTCTTCCTCTGTTAAACCTACCATTTGGTGTGATAACATTTCTGCCATCTCTATTGCATTAAATCCTGTCTTTCATGCGAGAACCAAACATGTGGAAATTGATTACCGTTATATAAGGGAGCTGGTTCTTGCAAATCTGGTTAAAGTTCAGTATGTTTGCAGCTAGGACTAGATAGCTGATATTCACACTAAATCTTTGTCTAAGAATCGGTTTCTCTTTCTTCAATCCAAGCTTTCTCTTGGAACTCCTAGTCTTTCCAAGCTCAGGTTGAGGGGGTGTAAAGATAAAGATGCCAAGTCATGACAATTCATATAGTTTAGGCAGCCAATTATTCTTGTTACACCTGTATAGTTTTGGTTAGGTTGTTATATTTGTTACAGGTTGTTAGAGAAAGTTTTGTACATGGTTTTGACTATATATATATATATCCCAAATGTAAGTGCAATAATTAAGACAGTAAATGAGAAGAGGATTATTCAGTAAAACCATTCTTCCGTTTTCCTTTGGTTTCTTCATGAAGTTCCTACTTCCCTTGGATCCTTTATTATTGGAGACACAGTTTTAGATGTTTCAACCGAGCCAAACATCTTGTTACTAGACTATTACAGG